GGACCTTCTGCTCGTAGGCGGCGTAGGCCTCCGCAACCTCCTTCGCGCCGTCGGGGTCCACCTGGTAGCACTCCTCGATGTCCATCCACGGCTTGGTATCCGCCCAGGACCACCACACCCCTTCAGCATCCTGGGTGTAGTACTCGCCCTCATGCCACGTCCAGTGAACCTCAGACCCATCGGCGCCTTGAGATACCCATTCTTCAGGCTCATCTGCGGCATACACCTCGGTAGGCAGGCGGCTGCCGACCCACATCACCTCCTGCAGCTCTGATTCCTCGGCAGCGGGATCCAGATCATTCACAACAAGTCCCCATTCCCCACCTTCTTCGACCCAGTAGGATCTCCGGGACCTGTTGTCACGGTGATCGCGGTGTCGCTCGGAAGCAAGAAGCTCTTCCTCTTGATCACGTAAAGCTTTCTCGACCACGTCGATCTCATGACTGGGCAACCCGCATTTCCTCAGAAGCAGCCATCCCAGAATCTCCGGAGGTAGGACCTCAATGTCCTTGATGTCATACTTCTCCCACTCAGGCTCCGGTAGCGGTTCCTTGGGAGGACGACCGGAAGCTTCACTCCTGTCATCTCGGCGCCATCGTCCTCGGTACCAATCGTCCCACTCATCGTCGGTCCACCGCTGTAGTTCTTCCGCCTCACCGGAGCACGAAGGCTGAGCGCGTGAATACACACCCGTCAGCCGCTCATGCGCAACTGGTGGAGGAAGCTCTTCACCCTCATCCGGCACTTGATCATCGATGCCAAAGTCGTCGGCCGGCTCGGGCTCCACGGTAGTAGAAGACCGGCGCCTGGTAGGAGATCCACGTCGCAGCGCCGAGCTCGAAGGGGAAGAACTCTTCCGAGGCGACGGAGATCGCGGCGGGATAGCCGAAGTCGAGGAGATAGGCCGCCCGGACCTCGCTCTCGCCAGGGCCCGTTGTAGCCTCTTGTAAGACTCTCGCAGCTCAGTCGCCCACTGAGCCATATCCTGCCCGGGACTCCTCTTTGTCTTCAGAAAGAAATCTTCAAGCCTGGCCCCCAGATCAGGCACTGGGGTTTTCGCCAGCTTCTCCTCGAGGTAGTCCAGCAGGTAGGATGCTCCACATCGATCTTGAAGACGAACCGGGTCGAGCTCAATGCTCACTTCCCACGCCTTTCCAGTCAGCTTCGAAGCAAGGGAGGCTCCGAGAAGCCCTTTATTCTTCTCAGCTGTCCGCATCCACTCGAGGCGTACTCGGCGAACATAATCAGACCAGGTCGCGTGGTTGCCGTTTCAAGACGGGATCACCTGGTTCTGGTTCATAGCCGGGTAGGTCTCGAGAAGACAGGCCCAAGCCACAGGCAGCCCGAGTTTGCGCAGCGGTCGAGCGTCGTTTTCCCTGGAGCCAACCCTCTGTCTTAGGGAAGGCTCCGCTACCAATTCTGGTAGCAAACAAAGGTTCAAATGGCTGAACCCACAAACCACAAGTGACAGCAAAGCCTGTGCAGGCCTCGTCGGAGTCACCAATGTTTTCATGCCATGGCGCAATGCTCTCGTAGCGTCTCTGGAAAAAGAGTTAGGCTGAAGGAATTCCTCGAACCGACATGTACAGGGATGGCGAGGTTTGCAATCAGCACTGGCATGCGTTCTATACAAGCATGCGGACAAGGGTACTTGTAGCGACTTTGCCTCCGAAAACAACACGATGAACGAATGCAGCTACGTTGAAGCCACATGTGGCATTGAACGAAAAGACTCTTCTGCAGGGCACAGGAGGCGCATCTAGCAGGATGGGTCAGAGTGACGGCACTGAAGCAAGGCACAACCCCAGCCTGAAGCACAAAAGACTGCAGGGCGTTGCCGCTCTCATCGTCCATACAACGCGCGGTGTGCTACCGCCCATCCGCAATTGCCCTAGATGCGAAGCTTGGGAATCTAGGTTGGACGCGCTAGCTATGCGCTGTGCCTACCTTAGCTGATTGAACGACGATAGCATCTGTAGCGTGTCTGCTGGAAACTGCATCGTTTTACTTCATCATAACCAGGCTGACTAAGCTCATCGTTGCTGACTCGTCTCCTTTATGAACCATGTGTGCTGTATCCATTATGTATCCAGCCCCGACATGCAACCATCCCGTCTCCATGCTTCTCGTTCTGGATGTGTGCCATCTTCTGTGCTCTGCGATGCGTTCCAAGTGTCGCGCAAGCTTCTACGACTTCCCAGCAGTCATTCCAAGAATCGCATGATGTCACCAGGCAGACTTGTTCGCTCGCGTTCGTCACATTGACATGCTCAGAAGCTAGTCGTGCACCTCTGCTTCGTGCAGCTGCCACTCGCCGGCAACTCCAGAATCTGCTGCCACTGTGCTCTCTGTGGGCCAGTCGCGAAAACAGATTCGCTACGCGTGAAACAACTCGTCGCAACGATTCAGCGGCAATGAGGCGCTCTCTAAGAGGCTCCCAGAGGGTGCGAAGCTTCGCGCACTCTCCGACAGGCTCCGCCGTCTGCTCAAGCAATTCGTAACACTCAGTGACCACTCTCACGTCTCACTCATATTCGGATCGAGAGCATACAGCATCGACTCTTCTGTTTAATTTTTTGGGCAGAGTCTGCGATGCTAGCCCACTCACTTCTCTAGGCCCACGAGCAATAATCAACTCGGGGCCTCCACACACTAACCCACGAAAGAACATCTCAAAGTTCAGAGCGCGCTCTCAGCAGTCGCCTTGGGTCGCTCCAAGCTGAGGGCTGAAACCCACATCTCCTTAGATGGCAAGTTCTGGCGCAAACGAGATGCTTCTGCCGATTTCCTGGCAGCTGAGGCTCTCCTGCAATTCGCAGACGAGATCGCGCTCTGCGTCAAGCGCAGAAGCCAGCTCTTCGCAACGCTTAGTCTTATCCTTCGTCTGCGCAGTGGCAATTCAACAACACACCCCAGTGCTATTGTCATTTGTCAACATGGGCGTGGCTCGGGCAAGGGCTAGTACCGACGAATCGCCACAACACTTCCAGAAAGTCGGGGCTTGGCATGGCGAGTTCTCCCCTCTAAAACATTCCTTTCGACAGGTGCCTGCCAGCATTCGGAGACACATGCCCGTGCGTCTTGTAGTCTACCCAGATCTGGTGGATCAAATTGCACTGTTTATTCATTACATTACGTTCTCGAATCTTGTAACCAGATTCTCGTTCATCACATTCCGACAGGCGCGGGACAAGTGTCCAACAGTTCTGGCAGTCCAGCGATCGCACCACTCCTGTACAGTTGCATGAAAGCCGCTTGCCGAGAAGTTGCCACGTCAAGAGGCGCCCAAGCCGCGTGGCAATCTCTAGCGGATTTACATGAGCCGCGAACTCAGCCCAGGATTATGACCGCAAAAGAACTCAACACAGACTAAAGCTAATTGCTAGCACACGTTGCTACCACTGGTGGGCTGATGAGACCGCAGGCTTGGTCTGTACGGCACATGGTGAGAGCCCGTGTTCACCGCTGCTTGGCAAAATTGATGCGGGCTCATGCCGTGAGGGCCAAGGGAAAGCAGCACGAACCTTTCTGTGCCCCAAACACAGCAAACACAGTGCTTTTGATAGATTAGTATCTTCATGTTTTCCAGGCTGTGCTAGGTATTCCCTTGACAGGCTGCGTCAAGATTCCTGCCAGGACTAACGCGTCAAGCAATGTCCACAGCATTCCACACAGCAACATAGCGACCGCACCTCAGATCAAAGACAAGCGAGAGACAAGTACACTTTGACCTCGTTCAGTCCTGCGCCGTAATTACTGTCCATTCGAAGCCAAGGCACCACTGCACAGTAGGGCTGCGCGGCTGATGCCTCCTTCGACGATCTGGCAGATCCCTGTCTGTCCGGCAGCAGGTAATTTTGATTTGGTGCCAAGCGCCAGCGCAAACAGCCCGCTCGGAGACTCTGAGTCGACTTAAGCTTAGAGTAACAGTGTAACTACTAGGCCTGTGCTTCCGATGCGATGCCTAGACAGCTCGTGGCTGGCGTCTGCCATTCCGAAATCTTCAGAACAGTCTTATGACGTCGTCAATCAAGCAACACCAGAGCACCGCCCGAATTTGGGTAGCTTTCCGTTTCGTGTAGACTACACATTAACTGTGGTGACTGTGGTATGTTGGAACAGACGAGGCGGCGTCTCCAGCTGCAATCTGCTCGCGCGATTTATCCGTGTCTTGAAGCAGCAGAACATGACTTCAAAGTATTTCTAGTGCATTGCTGTCAACTCTAGAGGGAATAGCACGGATCGACAGACAGTCGCTTTCGGGTTGGGCAGGCGAAACTGTTCTCCTTCTCACGTGCTTTTAAGAATGCAAAGCTTATGGCTTATGGCTGATCACGTACTCAGTTCGTTGGTCCAACCCGAGCTACGACTGATGACGGCAACAGCAGGGAAGCGCCCTCATGCCTGACGGGCGGCAAGAAGGGCGATAAAGAAGCCCCGGTCCGTGCTAGAATTTGCATCGAAAGCATTTTGTGAGTTTGAAAGCTTTACTCAAGCTCAGACTGCTCAGACTGGGGGCTGGAACCTTTGCAGTGATTGTCCTGGCGCAACACCATAGGCAGAACTGGCCAGCACTCACGCAACTAAACTGCTGTTGCTGTTGTCCGATCGCTTGAGCGGCTCATCAGAGCTGAGAAAAAGTTCTTCAAAGATTCGATTCTGTCATCTCCATCAGGATGCAGAGTAAGGGCATCGTCGGGCCCGTCTTCGCATGGTAGACCATCGGGATCCAACCTAGCCCCCATATTGCTCACCAAGGCTTGAAAGTACGGAGCTGCTTGAGGCTCGGCGAAGGGAGCACTCTGCGCCTGAGGTTCGAGAAGTGGCAGGGAAGGCCACTCGAGAGGTGAAACGTAAAGGAAAAAGTTGGCCATGGCCAAGCTAGGCCGGCTCTGGGCCACCCTCCAAAGCCATCAGCCTGCAGGGAGATGATGAGACATGTCGCGATCAGATTCTCAATTCTCCAGTCGGTCCTTTGGGCGACCTCTCATGCCATCGTCTCAGTCATCATAGTGTGTCGGCATCGCCTCCCAAGTGAAAAGCTTAACATGCTACCTGCTACCTTCACCTGACAGCTTGCAAAGCATAGCACGTCTCAGCACCTTCCGCAGCATCTCCTCAAGCTCTTTTCCGGATGGCGAGTACGGAGTGGTTCCCTCCCACATGACCTGACTGCAAGACTTCGCAACAAAATTCCGCTCCAGCTGTCGACAGGATGGGACGCTAGAAGCAAAGGCGGGCGCAGGTGGCGACAGGTGCATGGCAGGCATCAACACGAAATGCCCAGGCATTGCAGGAACCTGCAAGGGCAAACACGAGCGCATCAGGTCGCGTTTGAGATTCACCGGACAGTAGCAGTCTCATGTTGGGGCCGGCGCCACACCACCCTCCATCATGTACCCCTGCGCGGCATCAGGCCTTTGCATACCTGGTGCATGCGTGGTCTCCGAAATTTGGATTGCTGAAAGCGTGAGAGTGAGGCTTGGACCGGCCATAGCTGGCACTGCGGCAATCATCGGGTGGTCGAATCCAGTCCTTCAGCCCGGCCACAATAAACCTGATCTTCGTGGGGTCTGAGCCCACTGGCACTTCGGTCCTCATCGGCACACGGCTTCTATCAGCTATCTGCTGAGAGAGACCTCCGTCGCGAGAGCGAGAGAGGAACAGCACAATCTGCTGCAGGTTCCAGCTGTAACGTTAGCCTTGTCGCCAGCTCTGATCCAGGTCTTGTCCAATGTCGAAGTTCTAAGAAGCACTTCCATGCCCACGCGAAATCTCGAGCAAGGTGCATGAATCTGGGAATCGCACCTTCGGCGCACAATTTGCTGGTGCCTGCGTTGAGGGGCGTGTGAAGATTGAGTGAACAGACTCGCGGAGCAACCAACCCGCTGGAAGTTCCTCGTTTGCCACGAGGCCCAGCGGGTCCCAAAGAAGCTGCTGCCTGCTATCTCGCTATGGCACGCACGCACGAAGAGAATAAGGAACGTAATAAGATTTCCCTTGCGGGGGGGCCGATTCTTTCACGCGTGAAAAGACGCAGCAACCTCTCACCCCAAGCTGCTTGCGCAATTCACCTCGAGTTCTCAAGCTTTGTCGGAAGCTTCGCTGCCCAAGAAAGCAAGACACAGCAAGACCACTTGCAGAGCCGGAGCGACCCGTCTCCGAGAAGTTTGCTTCCCAGTGGCGACTCTGACAGGATAGACATGCTGGCCTTCGGGTCTGGGCGGCCCGGTTCTGCTTAAACAACTACGCCACCAACTACTCTGCACAGAGCACAGAAAAGTGCCTCTGCAACAGCTTAATTAGGGCACTAAGGCATTGGGTGTGGCTTCGTCAGGCTCACACTCTTGCTCTGGATGAATGAAGCACCGTACTCCAGGTACCTCAGTCAAAGCACTTTCTTGCATCCCTGTGTTGGCCCAACTCTCCGAGCTGACTTGTGCAGATTAAGATCATGGCTCACTCCTGGTCATGAAGGTTCTCTGGAGGTCTGGCATTGAAGCCAAGATAGACCCTCCCATGAAAGCTGCGTACCTTGCGCACGCGGTCATCGAGACAACAGGAATCCCCCAAGGGGATTTTTTCCCGATGTCGAGGCACGTGGGCTTGGCCACACGCGTGACTTTGGCTTTCACGGCTGATGGGAGCAGTCGCTGCAGCTCCTAGCAGAAGTCAAGCTATTTGACAAAAAGGCTGCGAAAAGTGAGATGTCCTCTTGAACACGCTGACACATCCCTGGGAACAGCGTCGAACCTCCAGAGAGAACCTCGAACGCTCTTATGGCCCAAAGCTTGTAGGGAAAACGTACGGTTATGAGCTCGGCAACACTTGGAAGGGCTTCACCCGGGAGCAGAGTCGATAGAGCTCGGTGGTTATTCTGCGGAGTGCTCAGGACTTTTGTCGAGATTTACTTCACTCATGGAGCAGTTGCTCGTATTCTGCCATCGTAGACGGCATCTTCGACGCGGTCGCCCTTGAGCGGGTTCGTCCGTCACTCGACTTTCATGTGACGACATTGTGCCTCGTCCCTTGCACACGCCTGGAGAAGCGATTTTTCGTTGACCAACCGCTGAGGCGGTCCCCTAAGCGAGCTGTCCTGGTGGCAGCTTGGCTAGCTACTGAGTCATCAGACTAGCAACCGGCTACGCCGACGCACTCGGCCAAGCAGAAACGAAATGCAAGTTGCCATGTTGCTTGAACAGACGGACCTTAAGGGGGCAGGGGGCGATTCAAGCGATAATTAGGTCTGCCTCTGTATGTCACGTCCAGACGGGCCAGGACCGTGCTCGGCCATAATTCTGTCCCTCCGAAAACCTTCGATCTTCCTGCTCAGCAGATACCAAGGCGCCCACAACACTGTTTGCCAAGCTTTTCTGGATGTCAAGACCTAGGCCATGTTCAGCTCTGCAATGCATTTTGGCCCTTGTGCGCTCTACTTGAGCTTTGCATGCCCTGAGCCTTCCGCCACAAGCCAGCACACTGCTGGCGGCCATTTTGTGGATGCCCACAGCCTCCTGCGCACAGAGGCTGCAAGGCTTTGGATGGACCAGTCTCACAGGTCCTCGTCCAGCTTTAAGTGCTGACCAGGTTGGAAAAGTGCCTGCACTTTCGATCTGGTCGTTCTATCGGCAAGACAGATGTCATATGGCGCCTCAGCACATTGTGACAGAAGGCCTTGCTCCCAGTCCAGAACCTGCGCACGATCGAGGGTTCTCAGCAAGCGCTGAGATAGTAGTACTCCTGACGCATGATGTAATCACATCCGCTCATGGTCCTATGTCACTTGCCAGCGGTGGGTATAGATGACTCCGACCCGCTGCAACTTTGAGCGCAAAAACGAGGCCGATGGTGTTTGGAACACGATGGAAGCTTCAAAAGAGGCCAGCTGCAGCACAATGATCTCTTCGAGACATGTCCGATGCCCTTACAGTCTTCAACGGCACAAATGCAAGAAGCTACAACGACTCATGGAACATGCAACTTCAGCTGTAGAGTCCGGCCTTGCCATCGGGCAGCTTGTACTCTTGCTGCACGGGATCCTTGGACAGGTGAGTTAGAGTTAGAGCAAGTGATGAGCGGACCGTGAGGTCCGGCTCTCATCTGCTACCTGCCGGGCCTGTCGCGAGGAGGGCGCGTGCTGGGTCGCGACTCGGCACATCCGCTCCTAAGGCTGGAGGTAGCTCTCTCACCATAGGTAGTTCACCAGGTTCACCAGCTCCTTCACGGTCTGTAGCTGCGTCCACCATACCTCTGAGCACGGAGGTTTTCAAGCTAGGCATTCGCAACTTGATTGCCAGCACTATAGCAGCAAGCACCTCGTCAGCAAGCGCCTCTTTGTATCCAAGCTCTCTTTGAAGGAGCTCCCCCAGGTATGCCTCAAGAGTTCGGTGCGCTTCACCACAGCGACCGTTACGAACGGTTGAAAGATCAAACGTCTTCCTGGCGGGCCCTCCAGGGAATAACAACTATCAACTCACGAGAAACCCCTCGAGGGAATTCATCCATAAGGTCGTGCTCTCACTCGCCTGTCCCCACTCTGCCGCACAAACATGACGACGAATGAATCGCTATCAATTCCAAAACATGACGATCCTGAGGTGCAAACAGTTAAGTCTCGTCCCCCGAAGTCTCGTCGCTGCACCGCATTGGTGACGACGTAGCTGTCGAACAGTGGAACCTGGTGCAAGCGCAACGTGATACATCAGGGCCGTCTGCTGGAACCATGATTCCGTCTCGTGCCCCAGGCACTGCTGATCTTCTGCATTGAGCAAAGTCCGAGATAGTGATTTCGCATGGTGTTGCCAAATTTGGACCTATCGGATCGCATAAGTTCGCTAACAACGAATACGACGACACCCGTCATCCCCTCTCCTCCTCCTCCTCCTCCTCCTCGCAGCGGTGCTGGTGCCGGTCGAGAGTTGTAGCAGCAGTGGTCGTGGTAGTGGTAGAGATCCTAATCCACCCGTCGTGCTGCTATCTTCCTCGGATTAGCCACTGCAGTTTCTGACCAAATTGTAACATCCTCGTTCACTGGTGTTCCGGCTGTCTCCGGCTGGCCCTGGGTTGCAGCGGCAACGTAGGAGCCAGAATGGGGTCTGCACCGGAATAATTGCTGTCACGATTATGCATTAGCATGTGCTGGCGCAATAACGATAGAAGTGTGGGCAGTCGTAGTAGTGGGCACAGTACCAGTCGTAATCCTGGTCGTAGTGGTAGCAGCACGAGTCGTTGTAGCAGTCGCGCAGCAGTAGCCGGAGGAGGAGCCCAGGAGCAGGAGCAGCCGGCAGCAGTAGGGAGCAGGAGCAGCAGGAGAGAGTATCAATAGTCGTCCTCCTCCTCGTCGCAGCAGCACTAGCAGTGGCAGTGGCAGCACGAGCAGGACTAGGAATAGCAGCAAGAGTTGAGAGGAGTGGAGTAGGGGGAGTAGGAAGAGCAGTAGCAGAGGAGAAGTAGGAGTGGGAGTAGTTGGAGTAGGAGCAGAGTGAAAGAAATGGGATGCGGAATCGGAGACGGAGAATTTGTAGTAGTAGTAGTAGTAGTAGTAGCAATAGCAGTAGCAGTAGCAGTAGCAGTAGCGGTAGCAGTAGTAGTAGTAGTAGTAGTAGTAGTAGTAGTTGTTGTTGTTGGCAGCTGTTGCGTCTGCCACCGCGCGGGGGGGTGCGATTCCTTTGCTGGCATGTGCTGAAACTCGAGTTTTGGCACTTTGTTCGCCCGCAATTGAACTTTGCTTTTGCTTTCGCATCGGTTTTTGCGGTGTTTTCGAGCAAAAAAGTGTGCCAGCCGGCGGGCTGCACTGTGCAAAAACATGTTCAGCTCTGCATTTGGCCTCGTTTGTTTCTGTGTTTTCCTGTGTGTGTCCCATTTCGCATCGGTTTTTGCAGCATTTTTGCCGACTCTCGACTTTCTGCACATGCCGGCTTGGGGGTCGGGGGCTCCATGCGACTGCGACTTTTGTTTTCTTTTTTTAGTGTTCACCTTTCTATTCTGGTGCCGTACATTGGTGGGGAGGGGGGGGTGGGGGGCAGGGGCAGGGGCAAAACCCAGGGCCAGAGAAGAGGGGCAGGGGCCGGGGCAAGGCGCAGGGGAAGGGGCAGGGGCAAAGGCAAAAGGTTTGCAGCAGCGACAGTGGCAGCAGCGGCAGCAGTGGCAGAGGCAGTGGCAGTGGCAGTGCACTCGCCGTCGCGCACTTGATGTCGCAGTCGCCGTCGCAAGAGCAGTAGCAGCAGCGGTCGTACGAGTAGTAGTAGTAGTAGTAGTAGTAGTAGTAGTAGTAGTTGTTGTTGTAGTTGTAGTAGTAGTAGTAGTAGTCGTCGTCGTCGTCGTCGTAGTCGTCGTAGTCGTAGTCGCAGCAGTAGTAGTACCAGCAGTAGCACGTAATAGTAGCAGCAGGAGGTGAAGTAGTTGTCGTCGTAGTCGTCGTTGCAGTGAGGCTGGTGGCTGTTGCTGTCGATGATGCGAGTTTTGTTGCGATCCAACTCATGTGTTCTCAAAAGTCCAACAAAAGTGCAACTTGTAGAGTTCTATCACTATCCGAACGCATGTCGTTTGTGCGTAGCGAGGACCATGTCAAGGTTTGTTGCTGCAAGCAGCAGTGACACACAAATGCAGTGTGGCGACGTGTGTAGCTCCAACAGTGTGCCTGGGCGAGGTGCTAGTATTGCCAATTTGATTGGCCGGACGAGTGTGGATGGCACTGCCTAGAAATCCCGATCCACGTCAATTCCTTGAATGCAGCACTGGCTTCGCACTCGCACACACCAATGTCACACTGGGGACTCAGCTGTTTGAGCCACACCATCGCCGACCTCAATCACGAGGCCAGTTCCTCAGCCGCGAGCTGACAGGGAATTTTTCTGGATAGCAAAAACAATCCACGCTGGCGGAGCCTCTCGTGTCCTTTGCTAACATTGGCTCATATTTTGGTTGCAACTACCGTGCAGTTTTGCACTAAGCTATTGGGGAATTACAGTTTGCAGGGTATTGTTTTGCCCAAGCTATTGGGGCAAAACAGTTTCGAAGCTCCTGTTTTGTGCCAAGCTATTGGGGAACTACAACTTGCAAGGTTTTGTTTTGCCCCAAACTATTGGGGAATTCCAATTTGCGAAGCTGCAAATTTATTGTATTTCTTAAACACGCATCCTCATGTGGGGATTCCGGTTCATCATTGATCATTGATCAAACATCTTCAGCTCGACCCTTCATGTGGTCATTCCGGTTCGTCATATATCTTCAAGACGTCCCCTCCTTTGGGGATTCCGGTGCCAACAGCCCATTGGGCGGGACCAGCTCATCATATAACTTAAACATGACCACTCATTGGTGATCTGGCTTCACCGCATATCTTTAACACGTCCCTCATCACATATTTTGAGCACGCCCCGTCACTTGCCAATTCCGATTCTGCATTTTTGCTAAACCTGCCAACTTTTTACGGGCCACGGTCTGTGGCCAGTGACGCGCGCCGACCCGCGGCTCCGCTGCACGGCATACACAAAGGTTGCTGGTGCTGCTGCTGCTGCTGCTGCTGTTGCTGGTGCTGGTGCTGCTGGTGCTGGAGACTGGTACACCGTGGCGGCGTGCATATTCGAGGAATCCTGCGATTTTTCTCGAGTTTCAGTACATGGTTACTGCTACGAAGCATTCCTCGCAAGTACACGCTGTCACGGTCTCCTAAACTCAGGACCGAAAAAAGAAGGGACCCAATCCACGCTTACACTGCAGAGAGCTCAGGAGAGAAGTGTGCTTAGATCCAAACGCCTGTCTGTCGCATAGAGCGCAAGAGCCCCAGAGTGCACCACCTGCACATTGTGTTGAATCAACATCACCGGATATCAAACAATGCAACCGCGCCCCCTACGGCGGTTGCCACGGTTGCCTGCACTGCTGGCACTCGAAGCTCTTCAAAGAGTTTCTCCACCTTGGCACAGAGCCAAGGTGGTCATGCCTGTCATGGTGCACCAATGGCTGAGAGAGAGCAAAGGCAGCAGCTAGCACTTCCCGATGCACAGTCGGGTTGAAGGGAGCCTGAACTCGCTTGGTGTAACCCATGATGGCTTCAACGTTGACGTGAAGTGGCTGAGTGGCTGTTCATCGAACTTGTTGCCAACATGTGGATGGCCTCCGTGACCAGGCAAGGGTGTTGAGATGGGTCGTGAACCTGAACTCCAATCAAACAGTATTGCGTAGCAAACGAAGCGAAGAATACCGAAGATGCGTGTCATCAGGCGGCAAAGCACCTTCATCTCGTCAAGGGCTGCCTGGAACACTTCCACGAGGCCTTCCCACCTCGGAAGACACCGGACCAAACTCCGTTCAGCACGACGAACAGATTCGCCCTCCGAGTCTTCGCCTGCAGTGCACTGTCGTGTCGACGCTTTGCAGCTCTGTGGACCCGGCTGGGTCACGACACCGTGGTCCATCACATGCAACCTGGCGCTAGAAGAGACTGCCCGCAGGGCAGCAAAACTGGACGTGTCAGTGCCCCCAAGCATAAGCAGTAGAGTCGGAACGCCCCTTCAACACTGTGTGCACAACGCAGTAGAGGCTTGTGTTCTGTTCCACAGCGAATGTGCCTGGCATTGCTCTTCTCTAGTGCCTCTGTTGCGGCCTGGAGCAGGACCCAAATGGACATCCTTCGAACTGCTGTTGCATGATGAGTCTTCCACTTGCAAGTTGCCTTCGATGGCTCGTGGCGAGACGCCCGTACGGCTGTGTACATGTTGCTGTAGACCACCTGCAATACAAACCCAAAGCGGTTCACTGCTCGTCTCTCATATTGCTTGCCTTGGGTTCAACTTCTCCCGCGTAGCCAACCTGACAATGCTTGCCTTCTACCCCAATTTGACTGACTGAACAGGCTGAACATTGTGAAGCACGGTGCATGGCAACTTGTGGTGCCTTGACCGAGCCAGAGCCATTGTCGAGCACGAGCGGTGTCCCGTCCATGCGGACAATATGGGCACCGGGAAGCCCGCATCCATGCGGATGCGTGTGCGGGAATGTGCGATGAGTCAGGGTGATTGCTTGATGTCTTCGTTCAGGTAATTCCCTTTTGCGTGCCCTTTCGTACACCAACATGTTTGCCGAATGCTTCTTGTTCAATGCACCACAAACACTTCAACGGTAGTCATAGATCCATCTCGTGTCGCTCCACCTGATTCATGTCCGCAGATTCGAGAAGCTCAATGAGCTACCCCAGCGTTGCGCAAACGACTGCTTCCAGCTCAACACCTGCTCACGCTCGTCAAGAGATTGGCTTAATCGTGTCGGTCTGTCCGAGCCGGACTTGCGGGCTCTTCATCGAAGCTTGAAGACGACTGCCTGGTGCTTGCGCACATGTCACCATAACGGTTTTGGAGTTGCCACTATTACTATACTGCTTAATCGTGAACGAGGACGGCAGCCAGGCCTGTCGATATCGGTGAAGTATCCAGATCCACTGCGATAGCCCTCCGATGTCGAAGCATAGGCGTCGCTGCCTCACAGGCTGTCACACATCCATGGTCCTTGAGCTAATTGCAGGGTGAGCTGCAGTCACCTTCGAAGCTGTCCTTTCGTGCAAAGGTCTCGCCCTGCACAGCGTGCAATCTTTCAAGACAGTATCCAAACTGTGTTGAGATGTCACCATCCGTGAAAAGTCCGCTTTCTCCGAGCCTGGCCAGACCTCTTGCGTCCGAAAGGCGGTGTCTTCCGGAGTTCTTCCTCTTATCGGGGCATGGTCCCGTCGAAAGCATCGACATGGGAATCATCGAAACTGGATATCCGCCTTGCCGTGGGCAAACGGGCATCGTTCGGAGGCATGGGAGCAGCGTCCCTGTTGCCAATTCCTGCAATTGCCAACATGGTGTTCAGCGACATTGCAGGGGCCCGAGCGAGTCTTTGCTGGAGGAGTAAGGCCGGGTCTTGCAAATGGAAGTCTTGCGAAGATCTGGGAGCTCCTGTGGCATTCACACGAGTGCAAACTGCACCCCGCCAGGAGCGGTGGGTCGCTCGATCCCTCTCCTCCAGCTCTGATGGGTCATGCGCAAACGGACACTCGTCTCCGTAGCGGCATCTCCCTGCGCCGCATTGCCAGGCTTTGCCGCGAGATCGACGAGTTCAGAACCAAAACCACTTCAGCATCAGCCAACCGGTCTGTTCTTGGATGTGACATGTCACTGTTGCAGATCTGACGTGCTGGCCAGTTTCGTGGAAGCGGCACATCTTGGTCTTCCGGAATTGGCCGACCTGACACTAAATGACATCTTGAGATAAGCTGAAGTGAAGCATGAGGGGTCGGCGAACAGGGTCTGCTTCTCCTTGGGCATCGCCTGGGTGAGACACTTCGCAGCTTTGCACATTGGAAGGGACCCAGTGTCCTCGGCGGTGTTCTGAAGGTTCCTCATCTGCCCTGGCACGTGCAAACGAGCAAACGCTTGCAAGCAGCAGCATTGCCAACAATGTCAGCGATGAGATTCGGGCCCGGATCGAGGTGGTGTACGAGTCCCCTACAGACACTAGCCCGCTGAATTGCTCTAAATGAGCCGCAGCTGCCCGGCGAGTTGGTTCTCTTCTCTCTTTTATCACTCTTCGTATGCTTCGAGTCTAGATCATGCTTCACAGGAGTTCCCCTTTACCTACTCAAGGGCCTGGAACCTGGTCCTTCCTGTTGAAAGGGCTGTCTTGACTACTCCATCCAAGATAAATCGATCAAACACCGCATGTCCAGTCTTTGCCCCACAGTTGATTGAGCTTGAAGGCTGCTTTCGACTTCGAATGACTTCGAGGTGTGGGAACAAGCAGCTCAGGGCTATCCCAGTTGTGTCCTACATCTCGCTGAACAGAAGCCCGGGTAACAACGCTAAGCTAGTGAATAGTGTCGACCTGTACATCCCCTCGATCAAACCACAACCTGCGCCGGACAGAAAGCTGGAGTCTGTGGTTGCTCCTCACCTTGCACAACAGGCGGCTGCAGCAGGGCTATGGAGGGCCAGTGATGCCGTTGTTCAAGCGAGCCCCCAAGGCACCTCATCAGCGCTACTAGTAAATGTCTTGATTCCCGCCTCTAAAGGTCAGTTGATCCACGATTCTCAGTCCCCTGGCCAAGCCATCCCATGAGAGTCCCACGATTTGGCGCTTCCGTCGGTTCAACCCAGCCGCTGTCTTGGACAGCTAGACAGGGGGTGCCGTCGTGAAACTTCATCGCGGCTGCAACCACAGCACGTAGCGTTCCCGAAATTGCTGGCCCTTGTCTGAAAGCGTAGCTTGCAAGACGATATTAGCAAAACCACGCCGCGACCAACATGAGCTGGTGGATCGGCATGATCTGTACAATGCTATTCTATAACAACGACAATGCACAACCTGCCTCACTTCGGCGCATGAAGCCAGAACGGATACAGCAAGGGCTGTGACAGACTCGACAAGCCCATCTTCTTGCAAAGGTGGCTGGGCTGGATGTTCGTCACAAAACCGAAGCCCGCACATTTGGCTTCCCAGACGATGCCTGGTCATGCAAGCTTCGTCATGCAGTGGCAGGAAGAATGCTTTCGACACTTTGCCATGCTGCTGGCCTTTGCGCCTAAATCGCTGGAAGTCTTCATGATGCTGGCTCTGGCAGGTGCTCCTCCCACCGTCCTCCAGAGCATGCGCTCGGCAGGAGATGCGGGCTGGACCCATAGACCTGCTATCGTTGTCATACAGCTTCGGACAGCTTGAACATCCCTGCAAACAGCTTGTGCACTTCAATGCTCCGTTCATGCGAAGCCTGCTGCTCGAACCCACCCGCCCGAAGCCTCTCGCGCTCGTGCTGTGCAACTGTACTGATCTCTGCTCAGGCATCTTCGATTGTCCGGGTGGGTCGGAGCGCAAAAGGGCGGATTCAGGTCGGGCGGGCATGCGCATGCTGACGTCAGCTGGACAATGAAAGGGTTTGGGAGAAAGTCGGAAATGGGGGGGGGGGCATGCTGGTTGCGATGTTCGCGTTACATGCCCCACATATATATATATATATATATATATATATATATGCTCATCCCCCCCCGTTGACAGACCGCGGGTCTAAAAAACACCGTGCACGACGATATTCTATGAAGCAAAACCTTTACCTGAGGTACATAGTACAGCACCAGACGTGTGGCACATCAGTTGCGTAATAGTCTTGTGGTAGTATCGGTATTAGGGTGAGTATTATTATTAATATTAGTACTATTGTTTGCTGTCAGTATACCTATCAATATTGCCAACTATAAATTAGTGTTAGTGCTCATGTTCGTGTTTTAGAGTTAGCACTAATGCCAGTGTCAGTGACAGTAATACAGCACCACTGCTACGAGTAGTATCAGTATCAGTCTTAATGCTGGGTTTAACAGCAGCTTATATTCGCAGAAGTGCTAGTATTAGCCAGCGGCGTGTTTTTAGTATCAATATTAGAACTAGTTAGTTTTGATATGTTAGTATATTGATAGTCTCGTATATTAGCAGATTAGTATATCAATACATCAATGTATTCGAACAGTAAAAGATTTGCATACTTGTATACTAGTATCTTTTACATGTTAGTACAACTGGTGCATGAATACACTACTATATTGCTGTATTAGCTTACTAGTATATTGACATACCAGTATATTCGTACGTTAGCATATTAGTATACGAGTATGTGTACTATATTACTGTTTTATCTAATCATTTATGAGTATATCAGTATGTTGGCATATTAGTATACGAACTTGTCATGTCGGTATTTTTGCATAGTGCAGTAGTCGTATATGAGTATAGTCACATGTTCGTGTAGTATATTCATACAACGACGAGAAGTATATTGTTACATTGGTATATGGGTATATGCCTATGCCAAAGCATTAATACATGAATGCACTGATGTATATATCTGTATCTTACGATAATGGTATGTATTTTACGTACATTAGTATATGCAGGTGTCTATTAGTAATGATATTAGTTTTCATATCAATATGAATATACTATTGGTATTCGTAGGAGTATTAATGTCCATATTATTAGAATTAGGACTATTTATACTCGTATTAGCCATAATATGGGTGTTCGTGAGGGTTATACTGGTGGCATTCTTGAATATTCAGCAGATTATCAAAGTCCGTATTAGTGTTGGTGATAGCACTACTGTTAACGCACAAGAGTTTACGTATTCGTATTCGTATGAGTATCAATAGCTATGTAAATATTGATGTTAGTATATATTTTGTGTTAAGTATTAGCAGTAGTGTTAGCATTAGTACTATAATATTATTGATGATCTACATTCGCAAAAATGTTTGTATTATTATTACTCTTGATCACGTGAAATTCTAACAGTTGAATACATAAGTGAGTTAAAGGATTTGTATTTTTAATATAGTGGTATGCATATTTATGTACATTAATACATACAGGTGTGTGTTAGTATTGGTATTAATATACACTAATATCAATATGAAAATGATTTTTGATATGCGTAGGAGTACTAATAGCTTTTATAGAAGTGTAATATTAGTAGTAATGCTGGTATTAGCTTGAGCATTCAACAAATTATCAATGTCAGTATTAGCAATGGCTATATGTAGGAGTATCAATACATATATGTATATATAGATAGACAGATATAGAGATATTCGTCTAAATATGGGCATGAGTATTGACAGCCCTTGCCTTTGCAAGTAAGTCGTAGTGCATGGTCTGTCATCGGATGGGTCACAATCAGCCCTCCTGAGAATCAGTTCCAAGGTCCAGAGATTCCAAAATATCCAAGGTTCCAAAATTTCCAAAATTTCCAAAAATTCCCAAATTTCCAAAACTTCCAAAGTTTCCAAAGTTTCCAAAGTTTCCAAAATTTCCAAAATTTCCAAAATTTCCGAAAATTCCAAAATTTCCGAAACTTCCAAAATTTCCAAAATTTCCAAAACGGCCCGACGTAGTGGACATGATTTTTCCAAAACATAAGGGCGGACTTTTTGGAAATTTTGAAAATTTTGGAAATCTCGGAAATTTCGGAAATTTTGGAAATTTTGGAAATCTGGAAAGTTAGGGGAGAGAATTTTGGAAATTTTGAAATTGAGCTTTTGAAAGCTGAGTGCCCCCTCCCCCCGATCACAGACCATGCACTACGACTGAGTTGAAAGGGCATGGTCTGTCAACGGGGGGGGGTGACCATATATATATATATATATATATATATATATATATATATATATTTATATATTTATATATTTATATATTTATATATATATATATATATATATATATATATATATATATATACATATATCTAACATATGCATACATGTGTATATATATATACCTACACATATACACATATACATATATACATATGAACCGCACTCGCAGGGCGGACAGCAGGCTACGCGGTTTTCCTGCCGATTGCCATAATCGGGTCAAGGCCTAAAAGTCGGCACGTACAAGACAGGCAGCTCACACATCGATAAAGACCCTTCGCTCACAGCATCTGGGTTCACATCGGTCCTATTTTCTTTGTGGGTCTTGAAGATCGATATGAGGACTGCCGCCGTTCGGTCGAAGGGCTTCAGCATACGGCCGTACACCTCATCTCGTTCCAGCAAACGCCACGCACCCCTACCATGCTCATCATGGAATAAAGCATAAGTGGTACGGTACGGGTAATCTTTAGGGCTGAAACGAGGTTCGGGTCGCCGATAGCTTTTAGCACCGTGGGCTACTTGGATAGCCGTCGTGTTTTTACGATGCCATCCTTTCTCAGTGGAAAGCCCCTGAAGAAACCCGAGCACGGGATCACTCGGCCCCACGGCCGTGCCGCTCAGCACTTGAGGTCCTCGCTGGACAGGTGCCCGGGCGCGTACAGTCTGCTTCACGAGGTCGGCGTCGTACTTGTAGCTCCACTCACCGGACCCAAGGATTTTCCGCATGTGAGATCCGTCCATGTCCTTGGTCCCGCAGTCGACGAACATGTTCTCCGTCGCTGTCCATTTCAGGGCGGTGTTCCCCCTGCTGAGGAGTCCTCTGAGCCATGCCACAGTAAAGGCTAGGGACTTCTGGCTGCCATACGACGGGGTGTCGCTGTTGCCCTTGTCGTACACGTCCTTGGCGTCGGTGCAGATCACCATCCCGATGCCGTCCAGGATGCAGTCCACGCCCTTGTGGCCGAGGTCATAGCCCAGGACTTCCGCCAGGTGCCCCCGGCAATATTGCCCGGCGTCGGCACCCTCTTCAACTCCCAGCATCTCTGCCGCGAAGGTGCTGCGGCAAACTCGCTGCAGTCTGTGCGACCGGTGGTCCAGCACCGTGAACCGGCCCTTGCCTCCCCGCATCAAGGAGGCCTCTGCTAGCAACACACAGTAGCAGCTCTGGCTGTAGACGCGCTCCAGAGGTTTAGAGCCAATCTCGCCAGTCTTTGTCACGTTGCCGAGGGAGGCGTCCGTCACCACAAGGATCCCGACGTTGCTGAGGTCCAGCGGCCGGAAGCGCAGCTCGAAGTCACCGGTCTCCTGGAAGAGCTTGATCAACTGGTTCGCCTTTAAAAGGGTGCCCACGGTCGGCGTCCCTGCCTGCAACACGGACAGGAGGAAGCCAGCGTCGAAGCGAACCTGGGCCACAAGCCACTGAAGGGAGCCCACAAGGGCTCGAAGCTGTTTGTGCTCTCCCGGAGTCAACGAGGCATCCACCTCGCGTCGCCTCGTGCTCGGAACTCTGATCACCTTCAGGTTCTGGTGGTACTCTCTCATGGACACAGTCACCTCGCCGCTCACCAAGTCCTGGGTCACCCGCTTGCCGCAGTAGACGAACGTGTTCTCTTCGAGCGACCCGAAGCCCAGCTCCTCGCCCAATCGGCGAATAGAGTCCCAGGCCTCCTTGCCACCACAGAAAAGGAGGTCGTCCACGTGGCTGCAAAGCATGCCTAGCAAGCGAGGGTTCGGACCCTTGGACCACAGGAAGAAGGTCGCGGCATCCATGGTCGAAGTTCGCCAGCCTTCTCGCAAAACGCTTTTGCGCAACCTCAAGAACCACTCCCGAGGGGCGTCGGAAAGGCCAAAAACGCCCTTAAGCACTCGGCTCAGGCGCCGGCCCAAAGGCAAGGAAGGGCTGCCATTGCGAACCTCCACATTCTTGACGTAGAGCTCCCTTGTCCCTTCCATGTATCTCTCGCCCTTCATGAAGGCGTGGACTAGCTCCTATATCCCACCACCATCCCCGGTACTCCACCAGGACGATAGCAGTAATAGTCGTAGTTAGCTTGCGAGCTAGCCGAGCGACAACCAAACAAGACAAACACACTCAGCTAGCACTGACGGACTTTTTGTCTGAAGTGGCAACTATCCCAGGTTGCCTGGAGATATCCGATAGCCTTCGGCTATCTATCCCCACGCATCGCCACTCAGGCTACCAGGGATCGAGCTTCCTGGCCTTTCGGCTAAACTTCGACATCCTATCCGGTGTCCCTCGCTTTCGCGTGCCTAGCTCCTTGTAGAAGCTATCTGCATGCGCGAGTAGCCGGCCAAGGACTCGCCACTCGAAGTTTTCCCCCTTCAGATCTATCCTCTGATCGGGGTCAAACTCCTTGAATTCCTCATTGGTGAGGTCGTCTGCTAGCTGGTTGATGTCTCGCCGTATCTACTGGAGCTGTAGCTCACAGTTCTTCTGGGATAGCTCTTCGGCTACCTCCA